TAGCTGAAGCTACACGCTCTGCACCGCTAGCTGAAGCTACACGCTCTGCACCGCTAGCTGCAGCTACACAATCTGCACCATTAGCTGCAGCTACACAATCTGCACCATTAGCTGCAGCTACACAATCTGCACCATTAGCTGCAGCTACACAATCTTCACCATTAGCTGAAGCTACACGCTCTGCACCGCTAGCTGCAGCTACACAATCTGCACCATTAGCTGCAGCTACACAATCTGCACCATTAGCTGCAGCTACACAATCTGCACCATTAGCTGCAGCTACACAAACAGCACCGTTTACTACAGCTACACAAACAGCACCGTTTACTACAGCTACACAAACAGCACCGTTAGCTGCAGCTACACAGTCTGCACTGTTAGCTGCAGCTACAGCAGCTGTGAGTGTTTCTGCAGTTAAACATAAATCTGTGACAAAATAAAAACAGATAATGTAGGGAAAAAAGTGATTATAAACCGTTTTTYTAATAAAGTTTTGTTCAAACGGCACTCGGTGCTTCACAGGAAAACGCTGCTTGCTCATTTCTTCTCCTATAATCGTGTTAGCAGAGGGGCCCGGCTTTGTTGTGGGGACATTTCCAGCTCTCTCACACGTGAGGAGAAATATGTGCAGAAACATAATTTCTATTCATCAGTGCACTAACACACAGAGCCGTCCCTCCCACCTCGCTGTTMTCAGTCTGTGGATTCAAGCTTTGCACTGAGGCAGCACTTTCTCTGATTTACCATGTCTCCTGGAGTCGAGTAAAGCTCAGAGAGCTTTAGAAGACAAAGACAAAAAGTCATCTTTCYTAGAGACACAAAGACTCAAGACTCAAGTTGGAGGCAGAATTCTGAAAATGCTGGAAAATTCCTTCTTTGACTTTGATGTTTTAGCATCATTGGAGTTTTCTTTTCATATTTCTGAGTCTTTAAGTCTTCACTGATCCTAAACCACATTTTTTGAATAAATAAGAATGTTTGTTGTTCAAGCAGCAGAAAATCCAAAAAGCTCAGAGAAAAAAATGATGTTTGAACCTCTGTCAAAACAAGCAAACAAGGTTTTTCTACTTCCCTCTTTAAAACCGACATATTACACAATAAAGTTTGTATTTTTACGGTGACACTGGTGTCATCATGGATCTTTGGATTTAATCATGAAAGCAGAAGGTCTGGGTTCTAAAGGGTTAAAAATCAAAGTTGAAATTTTTAGATATTATTAAATTTAATTAAGTAAAACTATATTAAACTATTAAAGAAACTTCCTTTCAATTTTCGACAATTAAAAGTTTTTGTTATTACATTTTTTTGGGATTATTACCTAAAGAACTTGTTGTTGATGTGCTTTTTATGAGAACCAAACATTTGTGTATATTAATAATAATAATCTGAACACAGTGACCCATTACTCTTTACATCACAATAGTGTTAAAAGCAGGTCTTGTGGGAGAAAACATGCTTGGCTTCATATCCATTATGGTAATAACAGGGAACACACCACACAGCTGCATTAGTGGATGAAGTCCTGACAGTAATACACACTTTGGCTCTGATTTCTTGTTGTGCATCGACAGTTCGGAGCAGAACACCGCCTTTCAAGTGCGTTAATGGGTGTGACACAAATAATGGAAAGTCAGCTATTAAGGTTGCGAGTCACTGATGAGTAAAATTTCCTTTTTAAAMCAGCTCCTTGCTGCCGTCTTGGTAACACAGAAATATAACCATCGACAACATAATTATTGTTTCTCATGCACACGGTAATGAGATGGTGAATTCATGTTCTTTAGGTTCAGCACACTTTAAATCAGCTCATTTAAATCTGTACAGTTATTTATTTTATTCATTTATTGRCTTTGGTTCTGAGCTTGAGTCAGTTTCTGTTCAGAAGCCATAAATTCAGGCAGGTTTCAAGATTTCAGAGATGTACATCAAAAATATTTTATTTATTTATGCTCTTTACGGCCGTCAGGAAATAAAAATGAGATTCATAGAAGAATAAACTGTACGACCAACAAATCCTTTTAAATAAAAATCTAAATGATGGTAAAGAAAGTGTTGAAAAGCCTCTGAGTTCTTTGGAGTTTGAAGTGGTTTGTGTGTGATGGTAAAACAGGAGTAATTTCATTAAAAAAATKTAAAATAATTTTAAAAGTTCTGCCTTACCTTTGGGCTCTTAGTTCGTCCCAACCAGAGTCATCGCCTCGGTGACGTCATCACCGATGGCTTCGGTGGTCCTCAGAGACGAGCAGCTGTGCAAACAAACAGTGAACAGAAAGGGTTAAAGCTTAAACTGATAATGAAGGTAATAAAAAACAGCTCATCTCTACCAACGATAAAAAACAAACAGCTCATCTTCAGCTACAGTCCAGCTGCTGCTTCGACTTTTTTAAACTTCCTAGATTCATCATGTCTTGGATGACCACGATACCAAAGTTTGAAGAGAACTGTGGTACCAGGGCTTTGGATCTGGACTTAGTTTCTGATGGAGGTCCACTTTAAATTAGAACATCAACGATCACTAAGAGACATCAGATCTGAGCATTAGGATGAACGCAACTATGAGGCACCAAGTGTAATTCTAGTTAAAACTTTTTATTGTTATTATTGTTTTATTGCTCACTGTTATATTTTATTAAGTTTTACTAATTATGTAAATCAAAATCTAAAAGTGAAATTTTAAATGTTGCAGCTAAATTTAAGGAATTTCTTAACGGAATAGCCTTTGCTGCTAGTGCACGGCTTTTGTAGTGATGTCATCATCCTGCGACAAAAGCTAACCTTGCTAATGTTGCTAATGATGTATTTAAATGGCATTTGCAATTTAAATTCATGTGTTCATTTAAAACAAAATGGATGGTGTTCCTCTGACACCAGCTGCAACTGCAAGTTTGATGACTTGTAGGGAAGAGTTAGCAGCGTTAGCAAACATTAGCAACGTTATCAGCATTAGCAACATTATCAGCATTAGCAACGTTATCAGCATTAGCAACATTATCAAATTTATCAACATTAGCAACGTTATCAGCATTAGCAATGTTAGCAGCGTTAGCAACATTAGCAGCCTTAACAACGTTAGGAACATTATTAGCCTTAGCAGCTTTAGCAATGTTAGCATTAGCAGTGTTGATGTTGTCAAAACAAAAGCCACGTTCAAACGACAAAAACTGTGTTCCATTCTGAAATACTTAAATGTAATTATTTAGTCACAACATTTAAGATTTAATTTTTACATTTCGAATTAGTATTTAAAATTTATACATATTTTAATTTAACATTTAGTAAAAAAAATTAGCTAGATGTAAGAACAGTGAGCGAAATAATGAAATGTTGGAATTTAAGTAGAAGGTGAGCTAAATAATGAAAATGTAACTTTTTTTAACATTTTATTTCACACTCAGCGCTCCGTACATAATAGTCTTTAATTCCCTTTTTATCTGGTTTGAACAAAGACCGGTCCAAACATTTGCTTCAGTCGGCTGTTTAAAAGGTTTTCTTGGTTCTGTTTTGGGTGCTTGTGTTTCTGCCAATATCCTCCTCCCTCCGTGGGGGAAAGTCTGGTAACTCTAATATTTTAGGATTATATTCTGTGTTAAACTCTCAGGTTTTGTCACACTGAAGGTAAAAACGTGTATTTTCCTGTCATAATCTTGATATTTTGTGGTGTTCGGAGGAGCAGCACAGTTTGTATTGCCACACATTTGTTTTGTGCGTGTTTGTGTGAGTATTGTCTGCACTCAGGTAATTCTTGCTCTGCAGTGAGGAACCTGCTGGGCCTGAGCGCTGAACCGGCTCAATGGGGGGGATGTAAGCCTGTAATCAGGAGAGGCTGATTTCTGTTTGAGCTGTGAGCTGCAAAAACCTCCATCCTGACTTCCTGTTTGGTATTTCGGGTTAAAAAATGTTCTTTTGTTTCTTTCATAACGAGCAGAAAACTCAGAATAGACTCAACCCGGAGCGTTCCTTTAAAGACCGGTGTCACCTGGTACCTTTTTGCCAGCTTTTAACCAAAAATCATTTATTTGCTGTTTTGGTCTGAAATCATCAAATCTGCTCTTAGTTGTAGAAAAATCTCATTTACTACCACAGAAACCAGCTGTAGATATCCTTCCAGTGAATATTCTCTGATCATACTCATCCAGTGGTTCATGATGTTTTATTGTAGGGCTGAAACAATTCCTCCAATAGTTCGATTACTAAAAATCCTGGAGGCAAATCTGCTTCCAAGCTTCGTAAATAATAAATACTGTTATAATCAGCGCACTTTTGTCCAGCCTGAATGTTATTTTTGTCATGCAACGCTACGTTAGCGCTTCCGCTAATGGCTACGCTGTTGACATGTGTATGCTAAGTGCTAGCTGCGGAAGAAGACAAAGATCCCCAAAGCAAGGCTCTCAGAAAACGACAAATTGTAAAAAGCGTGGGAACATTTAAAACTATACAATAGAGGACAAAGCGCAGTGAATGCACTTTACGTCCTCGATGTAGCACCGGAACAAAAACAGCTGCTGCATGCAGCGAACACGTGCAGAGTTAACAACAGGTATTTGTTCTCTTTGCTAAATACATTTATCTGAATCTGTGATAATCTCTCATGTTACAGATGTACAAGCAAACTGGCTAACCTTACTAATGCTAACTAAACATAGTGGCTACTTGATAAAAACACAGTGTGTCAAATACGRTTCTATCTAAACTTAAATGACATACTTGTGGAGTGAATATTTCAAGTTTAAAAGTATTTAAAAATTATAAAACTTTTATTTTTGCTGCTGTTTATAACTTTAAAACCTGAAGCCCTCATTTATTACCGCTGTCATATTTGTCTAAAGCTAACCAGCCAAGAGTTAGTATTGCAAAAGGAACCCTGCGCCAACCTAATAACAGTCTTAAAATATGAATTTATTTCTATTAACAATAACTCAAAACTCAATGAGCAACACCCAAATTTTTATATTACCCATTTTTACAACATTCCTAACATAAAATATCACATTCAGTTTTCCAATCCATAAAAATGTATTCACAGAATTTAGTTTTAGATTACTAAAATAACCATTAGCTGCAGCCCTGTTTTATTAACGGACCACCTTTAACCTTGGTTGACCCGAGATTGGACCAGAAACAAGACGTAGAAGCAGAAATGAGCGGGCAGCAGTCAGAGGGGAACGTTTCCAACAAAGACCAGGAGAGGACCGGAGGAGGAGCGAGACGTGTCAGAGCGCAGCGGCTTTTTATCCACGCTGCAGGATTTATGGCATCCTGCATACGCCGCGTGGCCCGGGAGCCGCAGGAAGCAACATCATTTCAAGCTCGAGTGGCGCCACGCCGCCGAGCTCGCTGCCAAAACGTGCATGGCTGCAGAATACCAAGCAAATCCCCTGACCTTTCCCTCAACCAACGGCTGTGTTCGGCTGAGCCGCTGTGTCCTCACACACACACACACACACACACACGCACACACACACACACTCGAGTGCGTTGCCTTTTTTATTATATGGAGGAGGTTTTCCTGATTCTGCTCTGTGGAGCTTTTTTCCACTGGAACGTATAAAAATATTTGATGTTGATTCAGAATTTTTATCACTTTGTGCTCCAGCTGATGCTGAAATATTGTTTGCTTCATCAGAATAATGAAAGTAAACAAAATCTATTTGTCTTTATGAGCAATTATAATAAAAAAGATAATTAAATATATTTAAAGAATGACCCAATTAAATTCCCTACATAATATATTTTATTATAATAATATTTTTATTAGTGTGTTAGTTTGTACTGTTGGATAGTTGTCTCCTGAACCAAAGGATACATTTAAATAAGTGACAACTTCTTTTCTAGAGTCAGTTAGGGCTGGACAAAATCAGATTGTATGCAAATAAATAAAAAAATGCCAGCAATTATTTGGCACTTAACGATAATTGCGAGTAGTGACTTAGGTGGCGTGGAGCTAACATTAATGGTAATGTGGAGCTAACACTAATGCTAACGTACAGCTAGCTCTAACGTAATGCACCTTCAGTATGCTAACACTAAAGAACAAGCACTAACACAGAATTAACACTTAAGCAGCTAACAGTAATGCTAAATTAGAGCTAACAATAATGCAAACCCAACACTAATGCCTGTCGTGAGCCTGGTTCTGCTGGAGGTTTCTTCCTGATTAGCAGGGAGTTTTTCCTCTCCACCGTTTGCTCAGAATGGGAGACTGTGATGAAATGATTCAACACAATCTGCTTGTTTCTTCTTTAGATTGTTCTTTTTATGTACAGTGCCCTGAGACAACYTATGTTGTGACTTGGTGCTTTATAAATAAACTTGAACTTAAGGCAGAACTAGCACTCTTGTGGAGCTAATATTAAGGTGGAGATAACACAGACACTACAAACGTGTTTAATCACCTGAAACTGGACTGATGAGCTAAAGGCTAGTCTGAGGGAGACCAAGTTTAAAGTAGACTGCTGCTACCTTATACAACTAAAACCCAGAACTTCTAATCACATCACATGATCAGTATTTTTAGACATCTTTGTCAGGTTTGCATTTTATAGATTTTTATTTTAAATTTTATCAGTTTTAGGACTTCCTGTGCAGCTGGAAGTCACTTCCTGTTTGTGATATATGAACGTAATAAAGCCAAGCTAACAGTGAAGTTGGAAGGACTTGTGTTAATGATCCACAACAAAAGTTTTAAATTGAAGTCATTGTTTTTAGCCCAATTCAAACTAGCGTTTAGCTTGTCGGTTCAATCAGAACCAGTTCTTGTTTTAACGAACTAAAGTTGTTCAAACATATTTACAGCAGGTATTGTTCAGAACCCAACTTCAAAATACCCAATCCATCCTTTTTAAATGTGACACAAATCAGGGGTAAATATTAATTCATGATCAGTAGATATACCACAGGTTCAGAGGATAAATATATATATAAAGTACTTCAACTAATTTACACAAAAACACTCAGTCCTGAATATTAAACCAATGTTGGAAACAAAAGGTAACATTGCTCATTCAACCACTGAAGCCTAAAAACCAGAAAACTGACAGTGAAGCTCACAGTTTGTTGAATAAATGTGACACCATGATGACTCTTTCACTCCCCAGCTGCTGATTCACTCATTCATCTTTTCTTTTATATGAATGAAGGAGCCTGAGCAAAGATCTGTGAAGGAATGGTGTCAGAGTTTTTTTTTATAATTATAAAATATTTACTGGTGCGTATAAACTCCTGAGAGCCTGTAACGTTGAAGACATCA